TATAAGTTGTTAAATAAAAAAAGACTATTAATATTAAAAAATTATCTTTATATAATATTATATAATTTATTACAATTAAAACTACAACACTTTTTAAAAAGACTATTAATATTAAAAAATTATCTTTATATAATATTATATAATTTATTACAATTAAAACTACAACACTTTTGTTTGTAATTAATTCTCTCTCTTTCCCCCTTTTCTCTCCCTTCTCTCCTGCCTCTGCCTCCCTTCTCCGCCGCTGTGCTGTTTTTGCTCGGAAGCCTTTGAGCTTCCGAGGTTTTGATGCTTGAGCCGCAAGGTTTCCTAGCCGTTCAAGCATGGTTGGAGCCGCCCTGTGCTCCCCCCTCCGACGACCCTCCCGGGTCTGTCGGTTTTTGGGTCCCCTTTGGTGACCCCTTTGATTTTCTTGTTTGTTCTTGTTGTTTGGTTTTTATGTTTCTTATATAGTTTGTTTTTCAGATTTGGCGACTCTCGCTTTCTCCTGCAGATCTTGTTAGGGGTTCGCTGTTTTTTTGGGTTGTTTGCGGATTCGGCGGTGGTCACTCCATCCGGCAGCTTCTCGGTGGGGTTGCACGCGGGGGATCCCAGATCTGGCAACCTCGCGACCCACCTGCTGCCTCTGCCGGATCGGGTCTCTGCATCGGCATCCGGGAGCCTGGCGCACCTTCCACATGGGTAGATTGAAGGGTGTCCCGTTCGGATTGCTCGACCGAAGGCCGCGGTATAGCTGGGTTCTTAATGGTTGTTCGAGTGTCATGTGCACCTCCCTTCGGCCTCTGGATTTGGGTCTACTCTAATTTCTTGCTCCTGTTGTATTTTTACTGTTTATTTATGCTGTAGATGCCGTATGGCAGTGTTTGAATTGATCCATTTTCGTTATGTTCAAAAAAAACTACAACACTTTTTTTTCTTATTCTCAATACTAAATTACTAACTGACAATAATTTTTTTTATTTTTTTCAGTTCAAAACAGTATTTTGATTCCTAATTATGTATAAAATTTTTCTTTTACTTTGGAGTCTGGACTGTGGGGGCTGGAAGAAGACTAGCAGCCTGGCACAGGAACAAAACAAAGGATGACTGGTGGCCACGTCGACATCTGCAATGAAACAGTGTCGCTTTGATTGAACTAGGGGTTAGACTCACATCACCTGACTGGTGGCCACGTTGACAACTGCAATAAAACAGTGATGATACCTTTTGCCTCTATCACCACGTTCACATCCCCCTTCTTTTCTTCCCACTAACCACAAAAGACCCAACAACGACCACTTGATTCCTCAATTTTAAGTCCTCTCAGACATTAATTTGATTTTCTCGAACATTAATTTGATGCTCATTGTGATTTTGATTACAATAATTAATCTCCATTCTTGTATATAAGTTCTTGTATCTATATGTGTATTTAGTAGCAATGATATGTTACTTTAAATAGAAAAAATTAAAAATTTTTAAATAATATTTTAAATTTAAATTTATAAATAAAGAATCAAAGATTATGAAATTTTTTTTTATAAGATTTGACATGTTGCGACTCAACTTAATTTTAAATTAATTTAATTTAATGTAATTTTTGAATATCGAAAAATTAGTATAAAAATATATATTTTGTCTAAAAGTTATTTGATTGAAGGAAAAGGAAGGACAAAGAAAATTATATATTATGTATAATTGATTAGATTATTTTAATTAATTTAACTCTTTAATTTAATTGATCAAAATAAGATTATATTTTTTCATAGCCTTCTCTTTTCTTCCATTTCTCTCATATTGAACATGCTATTAGAGTACTAGTGATATCCCCTAGTGATCATTAGCAGCATCAGACCTTAATTATTTTGTTACTGGAGAAAATTACCATCTTAAAAACTTGATGTTTGCCTGTTCTTAAACAGTTTTTTTTTAGAATAGGTGACACAACAAATTTTGGAAGCAGTAGTTTCTCTGGAATACAGGAAACCAAACAGGCCAATGCTTGATCTACATTTACAAATTTACATGAGAGCTTACTCAGAAGTTATTCGTAATTTTCTCAAATAATGGAATTAAAAGGTTTTTATTAATTCCCTCATCCTACGTGGCCTGATTCTAACCACAGTACTGCTAGTTAATTACTATAATGAAATAATAAGCAATAGTTGATTACTAGAGTTAAAAAATAAAAAATAAAAGGGAATCTTTCATGATTTTATAATCAAAACCCACGTCATGGGTGGCTTTAATTTAGTTTTAATCAAATGATTAGGGAATGGTCAATACACTCCATAATGTATTAAAAAAAAGATCTTTTAAACTTGTGTTTCAACTTTTAATGTGAATTAATTATATTTTTTTATTAATTTCTATAAAAAAAAATAAATGCATCATTAATAGGTGCATGAACTATTACAAAAAGAGAAATTTTAATTTGTATTGCATTAAAAATATATTTATTGTATTTTAAATTAATTTATATTCAAAAAATTAAAAATAATTTTAATTTTATTCATTATTTAATTCAATTAAAAAATATAATATCAATGATAAAAATAAAATTA